CAAGGTATCACTTGGGAGATGAAATACTTCAAGAGTCAGAGAGAGAGAAAGACCTGGGGATTGATATCACGCCAGACCTGTCCCCTGAAGCTCATATCAAGAGGATAACATCAGCAGCATATGCCAGGTTGGCTAACATAAGAACGGCCTTTAGAAACTTGTGTAAGGAATCTTTCAGAACATTATATACCATATATGTCAGACCAATTCTGGAGTATGCGGCTGCAGCATGGAGTCCATATCTAGTCAAGCATAAGACTAAACTGGAAAAGGTTCAAAGGTTTGCCACCAGACTAATACCCGAGCTGTTAGGTATGAGCTACGAGGAGAGACTACGGGAATTGAACCTCACTTCGTTGGAAGACAGAAGAGTTAGGGGGGACATGATCACCACATTCAAGATTCTTAAGGGAATCGACAGGGTTGATAGAGACAGGCTATTTAACATAAGGGACACACGCATTAGGGGACACAGGTGGAAACTGAGTGCCCAAATGAGCCACAGAGATATTAGAAAGAACTTTTTTAGTGTCAGAGTTGTTGACAAATGGAATGCATTAGGAAGCAATGTGGTGGAGGCTGACTCCATACACAGTTTCAAGTGTAGATATGATAGAGCCCAATAGGCTCAGGAACCTGTACACCTGTTGATTGACGGTTGAGAGGCGGGACCAAAGAGCCAGAGCTCATCTTTCGCAAGCACAACTAGGTGAGTACAACTAGGTGAGTACACACACACACACACATGCACTGGAGGAATGGTCCAACAAATGGCTGCTAGAATTTAACTCGAACAAGTTCAAAGTGGTGAAGATAAGCGAAGGGCGCAGGAGGTCAAACACAAGGTACCAGCTGGGAAAGGATATCCTCAAAAGTCAGGACGAGAGATAGAAATGGGGGGTTGATATCGCACCAGTTCACTGAATCCCACAAAAAAGGATAACATCAGCGGTGAAGGCAAGGCTTGCGAACATAAGAACTGCCTTCAGAAACTTGTGTAAGGAATCATTCAGAACCGTGTATACCTCATATGTCAGTCCAATACTGGAATATGCGGCTCCAGCGTGAAATCACCATCTAGTCAAACACAAAAAGATGCTAGAAAAGGTCCAGAGATATGCCACTAGGCTAGTCCCCGAGCTGAAAGGAATGAGCTATGAGGAAAGGTTACTTGAAATAAACATCTCGACCATGGAAGACAGAAGAGTTAAGGAAGACATGATCGCAACCTATAAAATTCTCAGAGGAATTGAGAGGGTAAATAAAGGTAAACTGTTTAGTACGGGTGGTACACGAACAAGGGGACATAGGTGCAAACTTAGTATTCAAATGAGCCACAGGGATGTTAGAAAGAACTCTGTTAATGTCAGAGTAGTTAACAGGTGGACTGCATTAGGCAGTGATGTGGTGGAGGCAGACTCCATACACAGTTTCAAATGTAAATATAATAGAGCCCAGTAGCCTCAGGAATCTGTCCACCAGTTGATTGACAGTTGAGAGGCAGGATCAAAGAGCCAAAGCTTAACCCCCGCACACATAATTAGTCGAGTACAACCAGGAGAGCACAAATACACACACACACAGATACACTACCAGGCGACTGGACAGCGCTCTGCTGTCGTAGTCCTAAGGTCCTGGGTTAAAGTCCCAGCCGAGGCAAATACCTAGCTGTAAAGAGGTATCCGAGAGTTAGCTGCCATGGAATACATCCTGGGGATGTGTGTGTGTGTGTGTGTGTGTGTGTGTGTGTGTGTGTGTGTGTGTGTGTGTGTGTGTGTGTGTGTGTGTGTGTGTGTGTGTGTGTGTGTGTGTGTGTGTGTGTGTGTGTGTGTGTGTACTCACCTATTTGTACTCACCTATTTGTGCTTGCAGGATCGAGCATTGACTCTTGGATCCCGCCTTTCCAGCTATCGGTTGTTTACAGCAATGACTCCTGTCCCATTTCCCTATCATACCTAGTTTTAAAAGTATGAATAGTATTTGCTTCCACAACCTGTTCCCCAAGTGCATTCCATTTTTCCACTACTCTCACGCTAAAAGAAAACTTCCTAACATCTCTGTGACTCATCTGAGTTTCCAGTTTCCACCCATGTCCCCTCGTTCTGTTATTATTACGTGTGAACATTTCATCTATTTCCACTTTGTCAATTCCCCTGAGTATTTTATATGTCCCTATCATATCTCCTCTCTCCTTTCTTTTCTCTAGTGTCGTAAGGTTCAGTTCCTTCAGCCGCTCTTCATATCCCATCCCTCGTAACTCTGGGACAAGCCTCGTCGCAAACCTCTGAACCTTCTCCAGTTTCTTTATGTGTTTCTTCAGGTGGGGGCTCCATGATGGCGTGGCATACTCTAAGACGGGTCTCACGTAGGCAGTGTAAAGCGCCCTAAAAGTCACCTCATTTAGGTTTCTGAATGAAGTTCTAATTTTCGCCAGTGTAGAGTTCGCTGCTGTCGTTATCCTATTTATATGTGCCTCAGGAGTTAGATTAGGTGTCACATCCACTCCCAGGTCTCTTTCTCGAATCGTTACAGGTAGGCTGTTCCCCTTCATTGTGTACTGTCCCTTTGGTCTCCTGTCACCTGATCCCATTTCCATAACTTTACATTTACTGGTGTTAAACTCCAGTAGCCATTTCCCTGACCATCTCTGCAGCCTGTTTAAGTCCTCTTGGAGGATCCTACAATCCTCGTCTGTCACAACTCTTCTCATTAATTTTGCGTCATCCGCAAACATTGACATGTATGATTCCACTCCTGTAAACATATCATTTACGTAAATTAGACAGAGGATTGGTCCCAGCACCGATCCTTGAGGTACTCCACTTGTTACTGTTCGCCAGTCCGACTTCTCGCCCCTTACCATTACCCTCTGGCTCCTTCCTGTTAGGTAGTTCTTCACCCATACTAGGGCCTTTCCGCTTACTCCTGCCTGCCTCTCAAGTTTGTATAGCAGTCTCATGTGCGGTACCGTATCAAAGGCCTTTTGGCAGTCAAGAAATATGCAGTCTGCCCAGCCTTCTCTGTCCTGCCTTATCCTTGTTACTTTATCATAGAATTCTAAAAGTTTTGTTAGGCATGATTTCCCTGTCCAGAACCCATGTTGGTGCTTGTTTGCAAACCCAATGCTCTCCAGGTGCTCAACAAGTCTTAGCCTAATTATTCTTTCAAGTATTTTGCAGGGGATGCTTGTCAGTGATACGGGTCTGTAGTTAAGTGCCTCCTCCCTATCACCTTTTTTGAAAATCGGTACGACATTTGCCTCCTTCCAGCAACTGGGCAATTCTTCCGACATAAGTGACTCATTAAAGATCATTTCCAGAGGCACGCTGAGAGCCTGTGCTGCCTCTTTAAGTATCCACGGTGATACTTTATCTGGTCCAACAGCTTTATTTGCATCCATTGTTGTCAACTGTTTCATTACATCCTCTGCTGTCACCTCCATATCTGATAGTCTTTCATCTTGGGTAATCTCTTCTAACAATGGGAGCTGCTCAGGCTCGGTTGTGAACACTCCATGGAATTTTGCATTCAGTACCTCGCAGATTTCCTTGTCGCTTTCTGTATATGCCCCTTCTGTGTGTGTGTGTGTGTGTGTGTGTGTGTGTGTGTGTGTGTGTGTGTGTGTGTGTGTGTGTGTGTGTGTGTTAGGTTGTTAGATAGATTGTTTTGCAGATATTAGAGATGAAATGTGGATCAGAAGTAACTTAAATTATTGGGCGACGTTCAAGGAGGCGGGGTCCTAGAGCTATCAGCTCGATTTAGGAAGCACAAATAGTAAAGACAAATAGTAAATACAAAAATATATTGGTGTAATAAAATGCTATGAACAGGTGGCTAAAATTGACCAAGAAAGAGAAGTGGCGATATGCCACCAGCGGAGCCCCACAGGGCCCTCTACTCGAACCTTTCCTGTTTCTCATATATGTAAATGATTTTCCAGAGCATATAGACACATTCCTCGCAATGTGTGTTGATGATTATAAAATTTGGAGGTGGATTAAGATATAGGAAGAAATAGAAAGGCTACAAAAAGCAACGATGGCTACATAGCCATCGAAAGGCTATGATGATGCTACGCATCATCAACTGTTGACAGAGAGAACAACTATGAGAATGATCGAACACATTGCTACTAGAGTTTAACTCAAATAAATGTAAAGTAATGAATCTAGGTGTAGGGAACAAGAGGCCGGACACAAAGTATGAAGTGGGAGAGTAAATACATCATGAAACATGCAGAGAGAAGGATCTAGGAGTTAATTCACACCCAACTTGTCACTTGACCATAAGAAATGTCTTTTGATTTTTTATTAGGAATAATTCAGAACCTTGTATATCATGTTAGACCAATACTAGAGAATACTTCTCCAACGTGGAGTCCATACCTAGTCAAGCAAATGACGCAGTTGAAAAAGACTGAAAAGTATGCCAGGAGAATAGTCTCTGAACTATGTGGAACGAGTTTTAAGGAAATTCTACTTGCATTGCACCTCGCGCCACTGGAGGACTGAACATTTCCCGGAGACATGATTACCTCATAAAAAATTCTCAAAGAACTGTATCAGGTATAGCATATTATTTAATACGGGTGGTACTCTCACAAAGTGACACAGGTGGAAACTGAGTACGCAAATGAACCACAGAGACATTAGAATTATTTGTTAGTGTCAGAGCAGTTAAGAAATGAATGCAATGGGAAGTGATGTAGTGGAGGTGGTCTTCATACTCGGCTTCAACTGAAAAACTGATAGAGCCCATTTGGCTCAGGAACCTGTACATTAGGTGGTTGACAGTTGAGAGGTGGGACCCAAGAACCTTAGCTCTACCCCTTCAAACCCAATCAGGAGAGTACACAAGCATGCTATTATCATCATATCCAGCTATTATATGAAAGAAAAATTAAGAATAGAGCGCCTTTCACCCTGTGCATATTAACTAAACTTCAACTGTAATATCTCTAATATATAACAATAACTTATGGCAGCCATATTGACCCGCAGCTTCAACGTTCAGGAGGATATGAACCGCACCTTGGGCGTGGAGAGGAACGGCTCCTTCAGCGGCATGATAGGTCTCCTCCAGCGGGAGGAGAGGGAGTTCTCCACCATTTCAGCACCAACGGCAAAGCGCCTCAAAGCTGTGGATTATTTAATGAGTTATCCCTCTGATCCTTTCATTATTGCCTCCCTCAAGCCGACGCTGCTGCCAAAAAGCCTGGCTCTCGTACGTCCATTTAAAGTTATATCTTATATGTTTTTTTTAAGATAATAAGTTTTATTTCATATCTTCAGTAAAAGATGAGTATAATGAGTATATATATATTTATATTCTATACTGTCTTCAGCAACCTGACATAATTAGATTTTTCTCGCACATTTTTCTTCGTCAACTCAATCATAAAAATCAGATCAATCTACTTAATAATAAAAATATTGGTCTCACCTATATTTCACTATATCAGCCACACTCATCCTTATTAACACACACCTAAATATAATCTCGGATTCAATGTAAAAAAAAAATTATCAATTGCATTAATCAATATAAAACTATCCATTTTCATATATAAGCCCAATGTATGACCTAGTGTCAGTTCTTTATAAACGTCAGGTATTAGTTTCTCACATAAACAATTACGTACACAAACATATCATAAATGCAGTTCCAACATGAAGCAAATTAGTTATAGCATTTACATATTATCAATGATTTTTTAATGAACTGTGACTTGCCGCTCGTACTGTCTGGCAATACTTGACTACAAATAATTCTTGCTCGGCAACTCCTCTTAGCAGATAATTTATTTAATTGTTGCCAATTTGGATGTTTAACATGTAAATGATTTTAGTTATGTCTGGACTGCTATTCCTATGTTAGATGCAAATTTATATGGCTTTAATAAAATCTTTGGTTTTTCAGATGATTTTATCAAATTTGTACTAGAACAAATATTTGGAGGTTTCGAATGTGCTATCGTATGTTTATCCCTTGCTTTCCACTGGTCAATTTGTTTTTTTATATGTAAAGCAATTGGCATCAATGCACACAGACACAGTGCACACGATTAGTACAGGACTATTCAGTAGGACAAGTGAGGCAGTGGCGTCCATTGCTCTGTAACAGTGTGAGTTTTTGAGTAATGGCATACAGTGAGAAAAAATAGTTGAATTAATAATTGGCAGAGTAGTTGGTGGGAGGTTTATCAGCTCCTCGTACCACTATGATCTGTCACTGCTCATTAAGGATCGACTATGTCCCTCCATGCGCATCATCAACTGATGGAGCCACGGACTGTACTCACCTAATTGTGCTTGTGATGGTTGAGCTCTGGCTCTTTTGTCCCACCTCTCAACTGTCAATCAACTAACGTACAAGTTTATGAGCCTTCTGGGCTCTATCATATCTACACTTGTAGCTGTGTATGGATAAGCCTCCACCACATCACTTCCTAATCTTCAACCTTGATGACGAGCGGACGTCTGGACACCTGCTCCGTCTGGAGGCCGGCAGCTCACGTTCTGGTTCGCGATTTTGGGTTATGATACTGCGCTTTGGCGTTTCTCTTCAACGGTCCAGATTCTTACGAAGCCTGGGGCATATATCGCCTTGAGTCACATGATAGTTAATAGATGTTGAACGTTTTCTGGCTGGTTCTCCCAGCGGAGTAACGGTGTCCGGCTTGGACGAGAGGTGCCGGGAGTTGGTGGGCTCTTAGACGTGGTGGACGGCTGGCTTCTGCTCTGCCTGGGGGTCACTGGATAACGTTTTTGCGTTTTAGTTCTGGCCGAGTTTTTGGTTTTGCTACCCAGTGTTCTCTATGTAGGGCGAGGCCGGTATTTGCCTGCCAGAGGGCTCCCCAATCATCTGCCTGTCTGTGTGTTTATTGGCCGTGCAGCACATTAGTTTCCGCCGACACCGGGGCGCATCCGATCCCTTGATCATCGTCGCCCTTAAATCAACAACAACAAGCACAGTGGTAGTTCAAACATGCAATAACTTGAAATGATCACAAATTATTTGACAATCATCACAATATACAACCCGATTTACTTAAACTTTATAATGTACAATGTACATTTGGTATGTCTGTGAATAAATAGATGGTTATCGTGGGTCTCCCAGTTAATAGTGACTCAGCCCTGTACAGTCAGCCCGTACCCCTAAGGTTTTAAAACGCTAAGAAACTGTCGAACTAAAGTGCCTTGTCCTAACCTACCAGAGAACCCAAGACAGAAAACGGGACAGTGTGTCAATTTCGGGAGCTGCTACCATTTTCTAGTTCGACAATTTTTGGCCTTAGGTAAAGTATAGGTGAAAATGCGACACTATTAAGAGGACGGATGAGCACAGAACAGTCCGAGACCTACAATTAAGGCTCATGAAGCATAAAAAAGACGAACACAGTTTAAGGTAATTACCAAGAAAAACCATCCTAAGTATCATGAAAAAACATTCCAAACAAGATAATGGTATTATTTGACAGCATTTGTCATTACGAACCAATAGTTAATGGTACCAATAGTTAAACTATATTATGATAATGCATCTATATAGCAAACGTCAATCATTTGTCAACTTCTTTACAGGTGAGCTATGGGTGACCCTGCTGGTGAGTGTGGTGGCGTGGGGCGTGACTCTGTGGCTGCTGCAGAGAGCGTGGCAGTGGGTGGCTGGAGGGCGTCCGGTGGGACTTGTCACATCTCTCATGTACGGCTATGGAGCTCTCCTGCAAAACCTGCCTTCAGACCCCTCTGCCAGCATCTCTGGCAGGGTGAGGAATTATATGTATATACATACACTGTGAATATATATATATATATATATATATATATATATATATATATATATATATATATATATATATATATATATATATATATATATATATATATATATATAATGTCGTACCTAGTAGCCATAACGCACTTCTCGTCCTACTATGTAAGGCCAGATTTGCCTAATAGGCCGAGTGATTTTCTTTATTTTCAATAAATTGTTCCCAAAAAGTTTATTTGAATAATTTATTTTTATATTATATTAATTTAAGAACATAATTTTTTTACTTAGTTGTGTTAGTTTAGGTTAGGTTTAAATAGGTTAGGTAGGGTTGGTTAGGATCGGTCATATATCTATGACCGATCCTAACCACTTAGGCCTAACAGGCCGAGTGATTTTCTTTATTTTCAATAAATTGCTTCCAATTAGTTTATTTCAATTATTATTAATATATTATATTAAGAACATACATTATTGACTTAGTTGTGTTAGTTTACGTTAGGTTAAGATAGGTTAGGTTAGGTTAGGTAGGGTTGGCTAGGTTTGGTCATATATCTACGTTCGTTTTAACTCAAATCTAAGAAAACTAACTCATTCATAATGCAATAGATACGTTCATCATTTCATAAGAAAAAAAATTGAAAAATATATAAATTCAGGAAAACTTGGCTTATTAGGCAAATTGACATATATACCTAATAAGCCAAGTTTTTCTGAATTAATATATTTTTCGATATTTTTTCTTGTGAAATGATAGAGCTATCCATTTCAATATGTATGAGTTAAGTTCTTCTAATTTGAGTTAAGACTAACGTAGATATATGACAGGACCTAACCAACCCAACCTAACCTATCTTAACCTAACCTAAACTAACATAACTTATTAGGCAAATCGGGCTCTGCATAGTAACCCGAGAAGTGCGTTCTGGCTACTAGGTACGACATATACATATATATCCGTTATGGGGGTACGAAGCGGACATACGCGATTTGAGGCTGTACTAAGTTAAACGCTTTAAGAAATATGAGGAACAGTGTAATTTTCATTCGATTTTTGGTTGACAAAAAGTGTTGTCAATTGTGAAATGTGGGTTGTTTTATCCCAAGAGTTGTTCGTAATTATAGATATATATATTTTCTGACAATCCAGTATACCCTATTCCCCATGAGGGAATGGGGGATACTGGGTGATTCGGGGGTGGGGAGATGGGGGCAAGGGGGACAACGAACAGTCATGATACATGGGTAAATAGATGGTTGGATATGTGATCTGACAGTTGTTTTGTTCGTCCTAATAATATATTTTCTGACAGAAGAGGAAGAGGAGCGAAACGTGGAGCAGGGGGGTTAGGGGGGCCCAATGTAATTTGAGGAGAGGTGGGAACAGGGAAAGATTAAGGGAGGGGGGTTATAGATGATGAGGGGAGGGGTGGAAAGGAGGCTGATAACGGGATAAGACAGATGGATAGAAAGTTGCATATATATAGGTTGATGGATAAATAAATAGATAAATGGATGGATGGATATATAGATTGATGAATATATAGAGAAATAGATGAAAAGATAGGTGGATAGATAGAAGGATGGATAGATGGACATATGGGTAGATGGATGAGTACATTGATGGTTAGAAAAATGGATAGATAGATGGATAAATAGATTGATGGATGGACAAATAAATGAATAGATAAAAAGATGTATAAATGGGAGACAGACAGAAAGTTCCAGGCAACACCGGATACCCCATCCCACCACCAACCCTACGAAGTATAATATGAGAGCATGTCTATTTGTCTATTTGTTTTTCCAAAGAAGAAGGCCATACGCTTGGGGCTAGCCTCACCCAAACTGATAAAGGGAATCGTCTCGGGTATGAGATGAACATAGGCTGGTCGGGGTTCTTAGAATTCAAAAGGCAACAGCCGGCTTCAGATCTATTTTTTTCTTGAAAAAAAAAATTAAACTTTTTCATCATATGGTAATATTCACCATTATTCACTGATCTCGGAAAAATTTACATAAATTCCTTGTCATCAATAATTTGGCTTTAGTCGCATAAAACAGATGCTCCTTTTACAGTTTCATATGTTTCTGAAGCCACGTCATTTTCTGAAAGTCAATGGTGTAACTATTATATTTTTTTAAGTGTAGCTAACAACTCAGATCCTCTCACCAGCGATTACCAACCCATTAATGGTAGCCAGTTATATTTTTTTTTAAAAAGAGAGACAGAGGCAGAGACAGACAGAAAGGGAGAGACAGCAAGATAGACTGTGAGAGACATAAAGATAGACAGACAGTGAGAGAGAGAGACAGACAAAGACAGAAAGAGATAAAGGCAGAGTCTAATTTTCATTGCCTTGCATTCATCTTGTTAAAGCCTAATAGGCATTTCTTTGACCATCTCAGGAGATTCAAGGTCATCTTGTAATGTACTGCAGTCCTCTTCATTTCTGATACGCCTCATTTGCCTAACATCATCAGCAAACATGGATAAGAAAACGAAAATCTTTCTTGACTAACTTGATAGAATTCTATGACAAGATGACAACGATCAAATAGGAGAGAGTTTGGCAAACGTTAATTTTCCTGGATATTCAGTGAAAGTTTTGACACTGTTCTTCAAAAGCGACTCCTATGCAATTTCGATAAACAGGCTGCAGGTGTATCGGAAAGAGTACTCAAATGGGTGAAGGAGTATCATTCAGGATGATGGCAGAGAGTCATTGTAAGATGAGAGCTATCAGAAATGAGAGAGGTTGCGAGTGGAGTACCTCATGGGTCGGTATTAGGGCCCATCCTGTTCCTGATATATTTAAACGATCTAACAGTAGAAGTAAGCTTACTTGCCAGGAATTTCCTAAGGTTTCTCTTTCACTTAAGTATTTTAAATTGGTTAAATTGTTGTTTACATAATCTAAGAAGCTCTTTATCATTTAGCATTATGTGATGGAAAACTTGACATATTACGTATTGACTTTTGTTCAAACTTTCCACAGAATTTGTGACGCCTGTTTTGACTTGGTGTGCAAATTGATTAAAAATTATTTTAGAAAAACAGGTTTAAACATAATTTTATTATGTTCCTTTGGTTGTCTACAGATGTTGGTGGGGTGGTGGCTTGTGTTCTGCTTGATAGTCACTACAGGGTTCAGTTCCTCTTTGATGGCTCACCTTACTGTACAAGGCAGGTCCCGGCCACTAGAGACCTTCGAGGACCTGGTGACCCAGCCAGGATGGAGGTGGGGAACTGTTTCCTGGATGCTGACGGAAGCGGTTGTTGATTACTTCGTGAAGCATCCAAATCCTGCAGTTAATCAAGTTTATCATAAAATGGAGGTGGGTGCTGTGTGGGTTCTAAAATATGCACTTTTAATCAATTGTCAAACATTACTGATATGAAATGAATAGTATAAATATTATTCATTTTTATGTGTTTGGTCAATAGGCTGTGTGATTTTGAGAACAAATTTATTGATTAAATGTTGGAGAGTTCGAAAAAATTAATACCTGTAAGGCACTATGAAGTGAGCTGAGAAAGGGAGTCATACTAACAATCCAGCCAGATTTTTTTATTATTTATTCATTACTATTATAAATATAAACTATTATTAAAAAACGTAAAAGCAAATTCTTATTGTTTTCTAATTTATATTTTATGGGATAATTAATAAAATTATTTGCAATAATTTGGGTGTTCAGCAGGAATGTGTTTTGCCTCGTGGAACCCACCAAAGAAAAACAAACGGATTCTTATAGTGTGTTACAAGAGTATTCAAAATACTAGAGTACAAGGTCTTGCACATTGAAATCACAAGAATGTGGCGAATCTATGAATAAATATTGATGCAGTAGAATGACATAGAACCCGCGTTCCTGAACTCTTACTTTTTCTACTTAAGGTTCGACGAGATGGCAAAGAGGAATTTCATCCCCCTGGCGTAGTTAAAATGAACGCAATAAAAGTCACATTTTGAGTATTTCCAAAAATTCGGATTTTCTAATAAATTGATAGTATTAAACAGAGCTTATGGGAACTTTGCGTAACAATATTTAGGTATAACATAACGAAAAAGAAATAACATGTAAGAGGTGCAGAAGGAAGAGTTATAACATTGGTATGGAGGGAAGAGTTATAACATGGGTGTGGAGGGAAGAGTTATAACATGGGTGTGGAGGGAAGAGTTATAACATGGACGTGGATGGAAGCGTTATAACATGGGTGTGGAGGGAAGAGTTATAACATGGGTGTGGAGGGAAGAGTTATAACATGGGTGTGGAGGGAAGAGTTATAACATGGACGTGGATGGAAGCGTTATAACATGGGTGTGGAGGGAAGAGTTATAACATGGGTGTGGAGGGAAGAGTTATAACATGGGTGTGGAGGGAAGAGTTATAACATGGGTGTGGAGGGAAGAGTTATAACATGGACGTGGATGGAAGAGTTATAACATGGGTGTGGAGGGATGAGTTATAACATGGGTGTGGAGGGAAGAGTTATAACATGGGTGTGGAGGGAAGAGTTATAACATGGACGTGGATGGAAGAGTTATAACATGGGTGTGGAGGGAAGAGTTATAACATGGGTGTGGAGGGAAGAGGTATAACATGGGTGTGGAGGGATGAGTTATAACATGGGTGTAGAGGGAAGAGTTATAACATGGGTGTGGAGGGAAGAGTTATAACATGGGTGTGGAGGGAAGAGTTATAACATGGGTGTGGAGGGAAGAGTTATAACATGGGTGTGGAGGGAAGAGTTATAACATGGGAGTGGAGGGAAGAGTTATAACATGGACGTGGATGGAAGAGTTATAACATGGGTGTGGAGGGATGAGTTATAACATGGGTGTAGAGGGAAGAGTTATAACATGGGTGTGGAGGGAAGAGTTATAACATGGGTGTGGAGGGAAGAGTTATAACATGGGTGTGGAGGGAAGAGTTATAACATGGGTGTGGAGGGAAGAGTTATAACATGGGTGTGGAGGGAAGAGTTATAACATGGACGTGGATGGAAGGGTTATAACATGGGTGTGGATGGAAGAGTTATAACATGGGTGTGGAGGGAAGAGTTATAACATGGGTGTGGAGGGAAGAGTTATAACATGGGTGTGGAGGGAAGAGTTATAACATGGGTGTGGAGGGAAGAGTTATAACATGGACGTGGATGGAAGGGTTATAACATGGGTGTGGATGGAAGAGTTATAACATGGGTGTGGAGGGAAGAGTTATAACATGGGTGTGGAGGGAAGAGTTATAACATGGGTGTGGAGGGGAAGAGTAATAACATGGGTGTGGAGGGAAGAGTTATAACATGGGTGTGGAGGGAAGAGTTATAACATGGGTGTGGAGGGAAGAGGTATAACATGGGTGTAGAGGGAAGAGTTATAACATGGGTGTGGATGGAAGAGTTATAACATGGGTGTGGAGGGAAGAGTTATAACATGGGTGTGGAGGGAAGAGTTATAACATGGGTGTGGAGGGTTGAGTTATAACATGGGAGTGGAGGGATGAGTTATAACATGGGTGTGGAGGGATGAGTTATAACATGGGTGTAGAGGGAAGAGTTATAACATGGGTGTAGAGGGAAGAGTTATAACATGGGTGTGGAGGGTTGAGTTATAACATGGGTGTGGAGGGTTGAGTTATAACATGGGTGTAGAGGGAAGAGTTATAACATGGGTGTAGAGGGAAGAGTTATAACATGGGTGTGGAGGGAAGAGTTATAACATGGGTGTGGAGGGATGAGTTATAACATGGGTGTGGAGGGAAGAGTTATAACATGGGTGTGGAGGGAAGAGTTATAACATGGGTGTGGAGGGTTGAGTTATAACATGGGAGTGGAGGGATGAGTTATAACATGGGTGTGAAGGGATGAGTTTTAACATGGGTGTGGAGGGAAGAGTTATAACATGGGTGTGGAGGGTTGAGTTACAACATGGGTGTGGAGGGATGAGTTATAACATGGGTGTGGAGGGTTGAGTTATAACATGGGTGTGGAGGGATGAGTTTTAACATGGGTGTGGAGGGAAGAGTTATAACATGGGTGTGGAGGGTTGAGTTATAACATGGGTGTGGAGGGATGAGTTATAACATGGGTGTGGAGGGTTGAGTTTATAACATGGGTGTGGAGGGATGAGTTTTAACATGGGTGTGGAGGGATGAGTTTTAACATGGGTGTGGAGGGATGAGTTTTAACATGGGTGTGGAGGGAAGAGTTATAACATGGGTGTGGAGAGATGAGTTTTAACATGGGTGTGGAGAGATGAGTTTTAACATGGGTGTGGAGGGAAGAATTATAACATGGGTGTGGAGGGAAGAGTTTTAACATGGGTGTGGAGAGATGAGTTTTAACATGGGTGTGGAGGGATGAGTTATAACATGGGTGTGGAGGGTTGAGTTATAACATGGGTGTGGAGGGATGAGTGTGGGACTCCGCTAGTCTTAGTCCATCAACGGGCCGTGTTGTGTTGGTCGGTACCACAGTACAGTGCTAGCGGGTTTCCCGATGGCCGGACGAGTGACTCAGAGGCCAGGCGGGTCACCGGGAGGCCAGGCGGGTCACCGGGAGCCCAGGTGGGTCACCCAGTGGTCAGGCGAGTGATCCAGAGGCCAGGCGGGTCACCGGGAGGCCAGACGAGTGACCCAGAGGCCAGGCGGGTGACCTGGAGGCCAGGTAGGTCACCGGGAGGTCAGGCGGGTCATCAAGTGGCAAGGCGGGTCACCCAGTGACAAGGCGGGTCACCGGGAGGCCAGACGAGTGACCCAGAGGCCAGGCGTGTCACCGGGAGACCAGGCGGGTCACTGGGAGGCCAGGCGGGTCACCGGGAGGCCAGGCGGGTCACCGGGAGGCCAGGCGGGTCACCCAGTGGCCAGGCGAGTGACCTAGAGGCCAGGCGGGGTGGGGTTATGTTAGCGCAGTGGCTGCATGTACACTTTTTTTCAATTTTTTTACGCCGTCACTAGACTTGCTGTGGGCCCGAATATTCGCACTAATAAACAATACTCATGTAACACGATCACGAACGTCAGCAAGGCGAGTGAAGCAAGGGCGAGTAACGGGCACTTGTCATAATAGCCGGCAGTGTACTCATATGCGCTTGTCTATTTTCACATATGTGTATTAGGTCAGCAGCGTTCTAGTGGTCAATGCCTGAAACCATTCATATGCTGAACAGGTCTGCAAGTGTTAAAGTACTTACTAACCATTGCTGAACATTGAACGTTATATATAAAATGTGCACGCGGATCTGATCCACTATGTATGCATTAATAGCCTTGTTGCCTTTATTTCTAAACATTTCTCTATTATATAATCTAAATTGTTAGAAGGAATACTGACGTTATTCAAACCCTGTGTGGCAGGTCATAGAGGAGGACGAGGCGCTGAAGAAGGTGCTGGCAGGGAAATTTTCTTTCATAAGTTTCAAGAACTTCGTCACCGTGAACGTGGCAACTCACTTCACGGACGAGAGGGGCAACAATCCCTTCCACACCAGCAGAGGCATTCCCATGTTTGCTGCCTTCGGATGGTGCATCAGGTGAGGTTTCTTTGTTAATCGTAC